AAGAGTGTGTGCAGACTGTTTAAAACACTGTAGCTCAGACAGCACTGCTGTTTTCACTGAAAAGCAAAATGCACCAGACAGTGAGTGATGCTGCAGCCTCCTGAAGTCCCAGAATAAGACCAGAAGAAATTTTCGAGTTAGTACAAAGGGGAGCAAGGCAGGATTAGCAATCGGCAGGTTTATGGTTTGTATTATTTAGGCAGCCAAACTAAGTGATCACCAGTCTCAACGTATGAAATAGACCCCTATGTGTTCAGAGGATGGCATAATACATGAGTTTTTCAGAAAGTTTGTTGTGGTTTAACTTGGCAGGCACTTGAACACCACACAGATGCTCTCTCACTCACCCCGCTCCAGTGGGATGGGGGAGAGAACAGGAAAAAAAAGTAAAACCCATGGGTTGAGTTAAAGACAGTTTAATAAAACAGCAGAGGAAAAGAATAATAATAAGGGTAAGAGATCATACAAAATATACAAAAGAAGTGATGCACTAACCAATGCCCAGCCTGCCCCTGAGCAGCGATTGCTACCCCCAGCCAACTCCCCCCCATCTTATAAACTGAGCGTGATGTCATACGGTATGGAATAGCCCCCTGGCCAGTTTGGCTGTGCTCCCTCCCAGCTGCTTGTGCCCCTGGCAGAGCAGGGGAAATTGAAAAGGCCTTGACTTGGTGTAAGGACTACTTAGCAACAATTAAACCATCAGTGTGTTATCAACATTCTTCTCATACTAAATCCAAAACACAGCGCTATGCCAGCTACTAGGAAGAAAATGAACTCTATCCCAGCCAAAACCAGGACAAATTTAAGATGTGTTTGTGTTTGAAGTTTCCTATCTCTCAGTTTCAGGCCATGGACAAACAGCTCATGGTTCTTAGTGACCTGCCCATCAAGGGTTATTTTTGGACATGTACATAAAGAAATTTGGTTTAAAAAAGCCCACACAGGAGAAACTAGGGACACTTGAACTGCCTGTGTGGGCCTTAACAAAAGCACACGGTGATAGCAGGAAGTTTAAAATCAGGTTTTGGCACTCATGACCAAGACTGTCAATTGTTTCAGGCTTCTGTTTCCTTGTAAATCATTATCAAATCCATGTATTTCCTCCTTGGAGGGAGTTTCTCAGTGCTTCACAAACACTGCCCCTATGTTCCTTTTGAGCCAGCATAGCTTTCCTAGCTGGTCTATGTTAGGGTATAATCCCATCAACATGATCCTTGCAAAAGGCAAGAGCAGCATTATCAAACTTTAGCAGTCTCTTCCCTTTTATAGTAAAATGAGTTGTGAAAGTAACTATCAACAGAGGATTTCTCATCTCAGGGAAACAGGTAGCCTTTGATCTGTAGCCAATAACGAATCGTAGTGGATATAGATCCATCTGGAATTAAGTTGGTTTACAACCTTTATCATAAGGAAAAAGAACAACATTATCATAGAATCACAGAATCGCTTTGGTTGGAAAAGACCTTTAAGATCATTGAGTCCAACCTTTAACCTAACCCTGACATCCCACCACTAAACCATGCCCCCAAGCACCTCATCTATCCTTCTTTTAAATACCTCCAGGATTATCTGCTCCTTCAGCAAAGTTCACTTGCTATTTGGTAGCGATGGACTTCCTCCTCTTAGCTAAGATTAGCACTATCACCTTGTAAAGTAACTTTAGACTTGGTATCATTCAGTAAGGGTCATGAAGACAGTGTCTTGTCTCAGGGCAAGAAACATTTATGCCTTCATATTAACATGTCGTCCAAAGTTTCAGTAAGAGGATGGAGTTTTGGCAAGTGAGTTCCGTGATCACAAATTAGATTTAACCATCTTGATATTTTATGCTTACCAAAGCCCACTTTTATGATGCTATGAAAAAACAAGGAGCATTAGTAAGAGAATCAATACAATCAGACACACAACAATATCAAAGGTTATGCACATCTATTTGAAGGAAATGTTATGGAATAGTTTGAAATATTATTGCCTTTGCCACCCTGAAAATGTTTGTGCTACTTCAGTGACAGAACATATTCATAGTCACAGCAAAACTCAGCCAAGCAAGATATAAAAAAAGCTTATTTAAATGTATTTTAACCCATCATGAACTACTTTGATATTCTATACCAGAAAACATCTATGTAGTGAAAGTATGTAATAATATAGATTATTTGATTATTATGCAAATCGCCACGCATAAAGAAAAGTATTCATTCTTCATCCTTGAACATTCCCTGAAGTTTAATTTGGAACCTGATTTGCATTCAATTAACATTTTAAAGCACTACTTTCTATTTTGTTTGCCTACATGATTTAAATTATAAGAGCAATTCTTTGCTTTTAGAAAAGGTGTGAGATGGGAGAGTGTTTTATGCATCACTAGTCTATACACAGATCCAGCCACTGATGCACCTTCCGTCCTGCGCTTGACAACTCTGCTCCTTCACTTGCAAGGCTTGGCACTAAGACAGACCTGAGCCACCATTACTTAGTGAGAGAACCCATCAGTCACCATTGCTCTCTTCTCTGTTGAGCAGCACAAGAAGGGAAGTTGGGAAAGACAGTGCGATGGGCCTTGCACCTTATGTCTGCCTGCATCCTCTCCTGCCTGTGAGGTGCACATCAGTGACTGTAAGCCACTGTTCCAAAACATGTAATTTAAGTGGTGAATCCCAGAATCTGGGGAAAAAACTGTGTCCAGATGAACATACTACATTAGAAAAGGATTTAAAATAATTTTGCTAAAATCTATCCCAGCGTATAGAGAGTCTGGGATTTGGGGAATGTAGTGAAGTATGATTGATTTTATGAACTGCTCGATGACCAATCTGCGCAGGCTCCGGAGCATTTGTAAGGACTTGACTTAAATGCATCCAAAACAGAGTATTAAGCAAAAAAACCTTAAGAATGGCATAGTCTAACCTAGGCGTATTGTGATACACTCTTAAATGCATTCTTACACAACTATACATGAAAGAAGAAGTGATAGTTCAAAGAAAGACAGTGACTTTCCTTTGAAGTAGGCGAAAAGTATTCACACAGCCAAAGCTGTGACAGACAAACTCTAGCAACTCATCCTGGAGTGTTTTACAATGCTATTACCCCCAATTAGTCATCTCTATGCCTGTGGTTGCTCCCCCAAGCAGCTAAAGAGCAGTATTCATGTCAATCATATTAGTTGAGATGCCAGTTTTGAACTGCAGTGACAGTCTTGGACAAATATTCCTTTCTCATATCTTTGGGGGTGGTAACTTCCAGCCCTGGGACAGGACAAGCAGCTGTGGAAAGGAAACATCTTAGCAGATGGCTATAGCTGTTTGCTTCAGTGCACATCAGTCAGCAACTTCAGCTAAAGCTCCTCAGACTGCCTCACAGCTATCACCTCTCAGGTGCTAATTAGCATCTCATGCGAGATCTGATATGTGACTGCTAACATTATGGATAAACTTAATATGCACTAACATATCCTTTGTGATGTGTTAGTCTGAGTTCATAACCATAAAATGCATCCTTTAAATGCTTTAAATATGGTTTTCAAAAGACTCCAAACTCTAGGTGCTGCTGAAAAAAATTAGTTGTTTGTTCTGTAAAAATTCATGGGATTTCTTTCGTCTGCTGAGACTTACAGGTTGCAGAGTTGAACCTGAAAGAAACATGACAGTCTGCAAGAAAGGTGCTCCCAGATTACCCTTGCTTTCTGCATGGCCACTACAGCAAGCTGTTCATAATTGTCCTGCTGGACCAGTTCTTGAGGTTGTGTGCTAGGTTAGTCAGATATTCAACATGTATGGGTAATTCAGGGTTCTCTAAGAAAGGAGGTGTCTCTCCACGCTAGTCTATAAGGTCTTCCTTCTTGAAGGTTTGAGTCATGATGATTCTTCATTAATCTTCTAAGGATGTTCCCAAGCCCAAATTTCTCACGGTTAAGCTTCCAGCTTGTAGATGTTGATTTTCACATGTGCTTTTCACAAGAATTTCAGTGCCTGAAACTTGTGGGTCAAAATATTTCATCTCATTTGCCCCAGTATTCTGCTTAAGGTAAATCAGCATTTTGGATATTTTGAATGACTGTCAGATTGCAACTGTTGTTACAACAGTGAAAATATCTGATGATAGATCACATCTACAGATTCCTAGGAATAGATCACACAATGGCCAAGTAATATTTTCTAGTACTTTGAGGAGATAAAGTTCATGTAGCAATTTTCATGGTGTGTTTATGACAGAACTTGAAGCACTACTTTAGCTTATAATATATAGCTAATATACATAAATCAATGCATATTCATCCCAATTGCACTGAAAACATACCGAACAAAATAATCACTGAATGTTTCTGTATATACTGAATGAGGAATGTAATGTCAAATCAGCTCCACAACTGAACAGAAAATGGAGGTTGCTAAAGGTGCCTGACTCCGAAGTGGAAGCATCTAGTCAAATGGAATAGTTAAGACCCAATAAAATAATTCTGTTTGAAAGAAAGAATAAAATAATTTAAAGAAGGGGAGCACAAAGAGATCAGGTGTCAAATGTAGGTCAGAAAAAAAAAAAAGTTTCTTGTTTCCAAAACAAAAATCAGTGAAACTTACATGTTAGGTTCATGTTTCAGTTAGGTTCCTTTCCTAAAATACTCTTAAATTTCTAGAAATGGGATTATCTAGAAGTGCTGCATCAGATAATTAAATTCATCAAGTTAACAGAGTGCTTTTCAATCCTCCCTTTCTCTTTTCTATACACAGAACACACACATTCACAAAGCTGCATCATGTTAGTATTACTGGGAGAAACCAAGAATGTCATCAAAGTGATTTCTTTCCTGGAAAACAGCCACGGTCTTTTGGACGATGTATTGACAAAAACCTTTCCATGCTTCACTGTAATGTGATGCTGGGTACTTGTGTACTTCAAATCTTTCCAATGGATAAAAAAAAACAAACCCAAAAAATCTCCCCCAAACCCAACTCTATTAATTCCAGTGAAAAATATTTAATAAAAACCAGTACACTTACCTGGAACAAAGCTTCCCTGGACCACCTCCTTATAAGCCCACCAGCCTTCATGGATTTTTGGTGAATTTTGTTGAGCTAGAAAGAAAAAATCAAAGAAACAGTAAAATTAAGGCAAGGCATATGAAATGTTTAATGACATAAACTTTGGAAACTCTAAACAAGGTATCACCTTCTACAGAAGAGCCATTCCTCAAGTTCTGAAGTGACGTTTATTCAATTTATTGAATTTTGCTAAACATTTGTATCTTAGAGGACCTTGTCCCTGTATCTCATGCAGTAAAACATACTCAGCTTCTGAAGAACTGATCACTAAACTTAAAAATTCAGGTAGAAAATGAGGATCTGTAGCACTATTGATGGTTTCTGTGCCATCCATAAATTCAGTATGGGATAAAAATGCAGAGAAGAGCGCGCTCATATACAGTAGTCAATATCTGAGTCCAGGTTGATGGACTGAAAAGCAGTTTCTCCCCTTCCTTTCCCAAGTTCTCCAATAATCTCTCACTTAGAATGGGAAGAAGTGACAGAGTGAACCACAGGCAATAGCTGTGTCTATAACTGCTTCTCTCATCCCATGGGCTCTGAGTTCCAAAACCAGAACAGAAATGCATAGCCCATCGCTTCGCAAATACTGGCTTATGCTATAATGCTGAGGCAGGAATAGAAGTTTTTTTTCTGCTGTCGTCTTTGTCTGCAATGTAGCGCCTGCTACTTATCTGCCACTACAGTCGTCCTGGTAGCTAGGCAAGGTACTTGATTCTGTTATGCATAGGTGACATGCAACTCTATTACAGCTGCGTTTGATAGCACAGTGCAGTTACACAATGGAAGGTTTCTTTGAGCAATATTCCGAAGGCTGTAACAATAGAAATCTAAGCTTTGGATAACGTTTGCCCCTGATGAGATTGTTGCTTAAATGACTTCTCTAAACTCCTGAAAAGCCAAGAGCAGAAAGGTCTTGATCAGTCAGTTTGCTACTCATAAGGTCATTACTTCTCTTTGTCTTGAGGGAAAACAGAACTGGAGCAAATTTTCTGGTCAAAATGTAAAATCGCTGTTAATTGGAAATACTTTCAAAGGGCATACAGACACACAGCAAGACAAACGTGCAGTTGATTTCCATAAGATAGCAGATCAGAGCTGATATGCAAATATGTTCTGCCTTCACTTGTATTTTCTATTTTCAATTCTTTTTTCAATTCTCTTTCAGTGAGCTACAGAAAGCTCAGCTACCTTGTGTATCGTTAGCTTAAATTTTGGGTTGGTTTTGTTTTATACAATACTTTCAGTCTCTTGCACTAGGTCCAAGAATTTTTTAACATAAATATGCAGGTTCAGAAGATGCTGGATTTAGCAGCTTTCTGCTGCAGTTTCAATTCTAGATCACATATTATATACAAAAGACACAATTACCCTGGGAAAAGTTCCAGCAATATAATAAAAATTGTTGCTGTCATTAAAAATTACAAAGAGGATGTGACATTCAGACTAAAAAGGATGCAAGATGAGGACCATTACATACTGTTCTATGAGTTACAAAACAGTATTTATGATTTAACTGGCTGTAAATTGCAGAAACAAAAGTGAAGCTAAAGTTAATTGCACATACTGACAGAAGGACCAACACTCTGCTTGAGCAGAAATCCAGACGCACTAGTGTAATGGGGTATGTGTGGATGCAGATTTCTCCTTCCAGTACTGATGCTCGTACAATTAACTGAATGGTGACATGTTAAACTGAGAGGACTATTCCACTGTGCAGTCTTTACAGTTTGCAGATGACATTACCGTCATTATTTTATCTTTAATACCATTGCCTAGAGAACTCAAACTGTGTATGGCTTTGTTGTGCTGGACTGCACTATGCAAACATTTGGAAAATGGTAAATCACAACCCAAAATCAAAATATCTGAGCAGCAAAATATTCATATCCAGCCTGAACTGCAATTTTTTGGATCTCGGCACTGGTTGAGACTTAACAGAAGTCCTTCAAGATTTCAGGATGCTTCAGCAATAGGAGAGGATACTAATAAGTGAGTCCCAACAAAGCACAGCAGTCATTCTTCTACTTAAAATTTCCCAGAAAATTACATTGCATTAAAGTTGCATCTTGTAGTAACATACACAGGTAAAACTGGTTCAGCCAACCAGAGGCAGCTGCATTTCAAAAATGGGTGAATAAAGTATGTATGTAGATAGAAGTAAGTTAGGAAGACTTCAGGGAGGATGGGGATTTTCAAATGCAACTGCTTACTGTCAGCATTCATAGAAATGTATACAATCGAAAAATATATCGCTTTTGCCTACTCTGTGGCCAATCTAAATGATCCGTGCCAGGTTCAGAATCAAAAATAATCCATTATTCAGAGTTTAAATTAAACCAAAATCAAAAGAGGCTGGCTCTGCAGCTCTGCTTCAGTGTGTTGCCCCAACACTTAGTAAAGCTAATTCCAAAAGGAGTATCAGGAAAACTAAGACTTTTGTCATATTTTTTCAAATTTGCTGCATTAGTATGGAACAGACTGCATGAGATGAACAAGAAAATTAGATTATCAAAGCTTTGTACTAAATAATTGGATGCCTGTGCAACTGCTTCAGCTATCAGAGAAGAGCATGACCTGTCATTGCTCTTCACATTCCACAGATACCAGATCTTTATCTCTTCAATACACATGAAAATGAAACACATAACAAGGAGTGCAACAAGCAAAATAAGTTGTTGTGCTATAGCCATGTAAAATATCTAAGGTAGGGCAACAGCGATGCTGGGAGTCCTGCTGATTTACAGAAAACTGAGGCCATTGAGGAAATCAAGAGGAAAGGCAGGTGGTTGTTGTGAGAGAGCAGCTAGGGAGACAATCCCCCGTGCCATGCTCTTTCTTGAACCCTGAAACCTCAATGTTTTATACCAGTTCAGGCAAAACAGCCTGTAAAATAGTGCAGAGAGTGATTGAACACAGATTTCCACTCTACTGTGCATATAAAATCTAGCTTGGTGCCAAAGATTTACTCTGACGGATCCTACAGGGACTTTGCTTAGAAAGGAAAAAGATTTATAAAGCTCTCATTTCTCTGAATGCAGAAGGAGGCGGTCTGGTAAGGCCAGGGAAGAAAGTTTGTCTTCCAAAAACTTCTCCTAAACCATTACTCACATCTGTGTTACGCAAGTGGGCAAGAGGTCTTATTAAAGGAGAAAAAAGCTGTTCTCTATTTTTGAAACATAATCAGACCCATAGCTGGATTAGCAATGGAACAAGGGAATATAAAATTAGAATGAACAGACATATGGACAATCCTTGCTGGGAATCCTATCTGGGACACTTACACCTGATGCACGTACAACACAGGGTCTCTACAATTGGTGTATCAATGCCCATCTGACAGAATGGCACTATGCCTGGGTAAACAGGTTCAACCTTATGGCTCAGAAATTGTTGCCAAGGAAAAGGATTCTTCATATGTGGCCACCTCATGACACTGAAAATAGCAAAACTCTCTCAGCATCCTTCTTATTTCAGTTAAACTATTGTAGCTCTCATTGCAATTCTCCCCCTTGAGGACCATAATGCGTACTTGCTTTGTGGATTCTGATACTCCCATGTTCCTATGACAACACTGCAGCTTCTCCATGGCAGCTCCTTTCTTTGGCATGACCTGTCATGTAAGATACTGAGGAGGCAAAAGGTCTAGAAAGCAATTCTGTATTCCTAATGAGGATTGAATACCTAAAAAAACCCCGCATTTCTGATACATCAGAGACTTCTGTTTTCTCCACTAAAACCTAGAGTATGCCTTTTGCTTCCAAGAAATATTGATGCTTCTGCAAGGCACCAAAATAAACAGGCCCATATGACCAGACACTTTGCTGTTAGGAGCAGATTACCTGCACAAGTAGTTCTGCAACAGCAATGTCAGCATCAGCACTGTATTCTGCCATTAGAGACAGTCCAAAATGCCACGTTTGTCCAAAGTGCTAGAGGATATTGAATGACCTCCATTTGCGACAGCATTCTCTCCCTCGGTACTGAAATCACTAGTATCTGAGATTAGTAGCTCTGCTGATATAACACCACTATGTCAGATCTCTTTCACTGCAGCTGCTGTAGAGGAGACAGGATATTTATTTGGCGCTGAGATGACGTGCGTTGCTTTCATTTTGTCAGATTATTGCAGGTATGTCTCATTGCGGAGCATAAAATTACAGGCTAAATTCTGCAACGTGTTGGCAATTTTAGTTTCTTAGTGGCTTCCATGTATGGGGAAACAGCATCGTACAGGATCACAAAAATGTACAGTAAATGCAAACAGCAAAAGATGCCAATGCCCTGTAAAGTCATCAGTTAACTATATCTAGCTTAGAGGTTAAAATGAGTAGGCTTATGTTTCAAAGAGAAGCCGCTGCTCAGTCAGTAAAACTATTTTAAAATATGATGCAGATGCTCAAATGTCTGCACATAATTTGCAGCACAGAGGTCTGCATCCTGTTGGAATGCTAATGCTGACATAATATAAAACACTGTAATTAATACAAAATATCTCTCAGTAAATATGCTTATTTGCAAGATATAAACCAAGTCGTTCTACAATTACTTATTTACTTTCTATACTTAAATAAAGATAAAAAGGCTTGTATCTGATGCCATCATTTATGTCATTCACATCTGAGCAGAAGCAAAGAGTGGAATCCTGCCAGATCAGAATTCTCCATTCACTTTACTGCCATTTCACACAGATGAAAAATTCTAGACTGTGGAGAATCAGGCTCACAGCAGTTAGGAAAAAATCTTTTTTCATCTGAATTTTATTGATCTGAGCTCTTCTCATTGCTATATTAATCACTCTGCATGCTTATCCCTACTCAACTTACATCCTAAGAGTCTTGCTTGTGATAACCTGGCTTGTTTTGCCCTGGCATTAAATACATGATAACATTTTTATCACTGTTACCTCTTCTGCATAGTTATGAGCTTAAAAAGAAAGTCAGTTGCAACTATGAGCCATATAGTTCTATAATAAATTTAGTGCAAAGCATTAATTCAGCGCTAATACTTTGATATGAAACTCACAGGAAAAT